TTTAAGGCTAGTAAGAAATTTAAAGGAAATTAGCTATGGGAAAAAAGCAATTAGTAGTGCTTTTTTCTTTTGCTGCCTGACTGTAGTTTGGCTTTCTTGCCTGTCCTGCCCCAAAAAAAAAGAAGAAAAAAAAGTTAGAATGGAAAGAAAAGAGTTGCTTAGAACCTGCTTGCTGACTTGTAGAGGTCTGCTTGGTGACCTGCTCCCTGGCTCTTATGTATAAAAAAAAAAAAAGCATGTTATCTTTTCTTTGAGGTATATTATCTTTCAGTTTTTCATCACATGTTCTGTATCGTATAGCTATTTAAGAAATTTGTAATTAGAAATCTATTGTGGACAGAGTAAAGCTGCAGCATGGCACTACTATTATGAGGTGAATCATACGTTTAATAATCTATACTATAAAACATAGATTTTTATGACATAAGGCAACTTGCCAGAGGCGTGATGTTGGTAATTTGGTTAATTATAATATAAGAAATTATTATCAGGTTAGTGATATTATGTCTCTTATCCTTGCACATAAGAGTCATAACCAACGTTAACTAAGTTATGTCCTTTTTATAACTTAAAGGACTAATGAGGCTTAAATAGATCTCACCTTATTATATAGTGGCTTAATTTCAATCGGCCAAGATCTATTGCATATTGTCTAAGCCTTTAGCTCTAAATTATCAACTTGATTGACTATGATGTCAATCTAGCCCGTGACATTTACCCACACCTATTTTATGCATATATTTAATTTTAAAATTAAAATATACTGTATAAATAAATAATAATAATAACTAATAAACAAAACAAAAACAACAACAAAAAAAAATTTTCATTCTGATATATCATTCCCTTGAAGGGCCATCACGTATCCTATGTGAGATCAGTACTCTAGAAAGGATAGCTCCCTTCAACTGGTTTCGAACCTGGGTTACTCTGCTATCAGAGTGATATCCTAACCAGTAGTCCACATCAGAATGATTACCAAATTTTGAAAATTGACTTCTTAAAAAGATTATTGGTATATCTTGATTATCCAATCATAAATTTTCGTGACTTAAACTTTAATTTAATTATTCAATTATCATTGTAATAAAAATTTTGATCTATTAACAAATTTTTAATTAAATAATCTTTTTCAGATCAATTAGTAACAATATGCCTCGCACACAGAAAGGAAACAATAACCGATATCCTAAGTGACAAAAGTAAGAATATAATTTAAAATAATAAATAACAGTAATTAATATAATTTCATTATAATAGTAAAAAGTTAGATAAAGGAAAGCAAAGAGAAATTGTCGAGGAGATTAATGATAAATCTGAGAACTGGTAATAGTAAATTTTTAACCAATAGATCTATTAAATTGTTAAATTAAAATTAAATTTGTAATACAGGGTAGAAGAGTATATTAGAAAATTAGAAGGAGAAAATGAAATTTTATAAGAGAAGTTGGAGAAGGAAAGAGCAGATAGAAGTTTAAATGAAATTTTGACAAAAGGTATATTAAAGGTGGCAGATAGAAGATATAGAGAGTTGAGTGCAGTGAAAGAGTCAGTTGAAATAGGATATAATATATTAAAAAGAGATATGCGAAAGTTGTTAGGAGTAATGGATATTAGAGCAGAGACTAATAGAGATCATCAAAGACTAAGAATAAAATATGATTTGGAGGAATTTGGTGAAGAAGAGGAAGAAGAAACTGAAGAAGAGGAAGAATTAGAAGAAACTATGGAAGTTTGGGAAGAAGAAGAACAACAATCTCAAAAGCTCTATGAAGCCTTGTTGGAGAAGGAATCAGAAAGTAGTCACGAAGAATTAGAAGAAGATGATGGAAATATCAGTAGTAGTTCGAGGATGTTGTTAGATTAGTTGCTCATAGAAAAAAAAATTTTAATAAATTTCTTTTATATTTTTCTTTGTCTTGCTAGTACATATATTTGTTTGCTTTTAATTTTACTATTGAAATACTTCTCTTCTAAATTCTAGATCTTTTTCATTAATTGTATCTAAAATTTAAACTTCTATTTGACTATCGAGTCAAAATCTTAAGATTTTGTGAATAACTTAACAATATTGCAAAAAATTTTAATCTTTATATACTACTCCCTCTTTTTATTTAATTCTTCCAGAACTATAATTTTTAACCAACTCGATTAATTTTCAAATCTTTTAAACTATTTATCCTAATAGTTTACTTAGAAAATCTTAAAAATATATGTTTAGTAAAGTATTCTTTTATAGTTTGTATATTATTTCAGTTATATATGTTTTTGAACTACTTCAATTAACAACAATTTAACTTATCTTTTAATTTAATCATATTTAGATTCATATTATTATTCTTCTAGTGATTAAAATATCATTTTTGAATATTTCTATACAGATTCTTTTTAGATTAGAGATCTTAAATCTCTTATCTTCAGTAAATCTTTAAGAGCTTTTATCTCAGCTTGATAATTTAAGTGCAACGGCACTTATTCAAGTCACGTGATCCAATTTTCAAAGTCAATTATCATTGATCCGTTGATTGTTTTTTGCCGAATTTATTTTTTCTTGACTCTTTTAACATCATATAAGTCATTAAAGATAATTATATATATTTTTTTTCTTTTAATTTTTGTTGCATTACATCAGGTATATTAGGCTCCTATGTGAACTTTTCTTTCAAATTGATCTCAACATATGCTCATTAGTATTTTAAAAATTTTCTTTTAAACATTTTTTTTTTTTTTTTTTCGTGTAAACTATCAAGGATCCAATTTTTGCGCAGTACTTATTTTGGTAGCAAACCCAGCCAGTACCAGGCTTATTTAAGCGTCTTACAGGTTGGACAAACCTCTCTTTTCACGCAGTACTTATTTTGGTAGCAAACCCAGCCAGTACCAGGCTTATTTAAGCATCTTACAGGCAAAGCACCTCTCTTTTCACACAATATGTGACTTACAGGCAGCACACCTCAACCTTGGTGTAGTGTATTAATTTTTCTTTTTAACACGTGTTTCTTATCATTAATTTAAAGACTTTTTTACAGAATTTCTTTTACTCTCTTAGTACATTCGAGGACTAAAGGCAAATTATACTTATTATAGTTATCTTTCATTTTCCAATCGTTATTTCAATGTGACATCACTTAGAGCGACCATTAATCTTTCTATCTAATCTCTACATGATGTTTATAATGGTCTAATAAAATAACTTTTGGAAATATGAAATCTTAACTTTAATTATTTTTTCGCCCTTATTAACAAAACACACTAGAGTATCATTTTCTGTTTCTAAGTCTTTTGCAAATTAACTATAACATTATCTTGAGTGGCATTACAACATTTTCCCAGTAGTGTGCTGTTATTAGGGTGGTTGTTTGTGTCATGACAAAGGTTTTTCATGTCATCCAACCATCGTTATTTTATTCATTCGTATTTCTGATCTAAGGATCTTTGAACAATTATAAAATCGACTTGTATTTAGCTTGTTTAGTGTCTAGTAATTGAATTGTGTCGCTGTGGCTTGATTGAAAATTTGCCTGAGTTATTAATTTCTTTAACTCTTTAGCGGTTGATCGGGTTTTTAGATTTATTCCTCAAATTCAAAAGAAATTGAGGAACTTCATCTCTAATTTTTAGGTTTATAACTTAAAGTATAGTCCTTTCTGTTTCTATACAATACTTCCGGTGCAATGAAGAGAATCATCCCAAAAAGTACTTTAGAACTGAATCTTGTGACACTGGCTTACATAAGCCCTTAATCAGTAATGTAAGGATTAAACGTGTATATTTCTGGAATAAAACTCTATAACGCGAAATAGGGTTAGTATGTTTGAGAATCCTGGGATCGTCGACCCACAATACGATCATGTGAATCAGGTGATTCTTGCTGCGGCTATAATTCCATGTGACACCGGATCTGCATGATACGGATTCGATTCGTATTTCGGATCGAATCTGAATCTTTAGAAATATTCGCTAGATTCGATCCGTGCGGAACACTAGTTTCTATTGCCTGACCCAATATAAAGGCCAAATTTTATGTTTTATAATAGTCGAGTTAAAAATTATGTGATTATATCAAGGTTGTGACTATGTCAAGAGAGACTATAACGAGGTCTGACTGTATAACCTAATTTGCCGACAACCATTTCAAAAAAGTTAGCCTGGTTTATGTTGAGTTGGCCTGATTTATGCAATTTGTTCAATCGAGAAGAACCTTGTTGGGAAATTTCTTTTTAGGAATATCTTTTCGGAGAAACATCCTTTCGGGGAAATATTTGTCGGTGAAAAGGTTTCAGAAAAAATTTTGTCTGGGAACAAGAGTTCGGAGAAAGGGTTTTGTCGGTGAAAAAGTCTGTCAAACAAAATTTTCCAGAAATTAAGGTTGTTGGGAAAAAATGATTCGGTAAAAAATTTCTATCAGTAAAATATGGAGTCTTTGACTTGAAAATGACCTTACGGGATTATGAAGATTTTATTAATAAAAATTAAAATTTCCAGCTATCTAGTAATTCAATTCAAATAAACTTTTTTATTTTATTTTATAGAGCTAGTGAGTTCTACAAAATAAAAAAAAAATTATTTAAATTGGATTATTAGATGGCTAGAAATTTTAATTTTTATTCATAAAATCTACATAGTCCCGTAAGGTCATTTTCAAGGCAAAGACCCCATATATTATACTATTCTTTTATTTTTTATTTTTTTTATTTTAACAAACAACCAAATAAAAATACAAATAATAGGTATAATTGGCATTGTTACTAAAGGGTTAATCGCAAACTATTAATTACACTCAATGACTGATAATGCACATAAAATTACATGAATTTCAAAGATCAAATCTATATGCCACAAATTCTACTATTTTTTTTTTTTAGAATAAAACGTATATACAATAAAAATATTTATTTCTATATTTTCACATTTCTATAAAATATCTATTATATCACATTTCTTATATGAAATTAGGAATTAAAAAAAGATTTATACAAGTATTAAAAGAATACAAAAATTTATACTAAACCTGTAATTATACCATGTTGACTTAATATTCCATAATGTCTATCAGTTGCACAACTACAAAATGTTAAATCGACCATCTCCAATGAGGCATTACAATTTTTAAGAAAGCACTCTAGAGATTTTTCAGTGAATGTCCAGCCTCCCATATGCCCATCTTTTATGGTCAAAGACCGTAGAGTTACAGGAATTAGTTTGCCCATTTGTGTTAATGATTCGTTCGCGTCAAAATCGTCACCACTAAATGAAAACACTTTAAGTTGTGTGCAGTAATTTAATATAATTAAAATTTCGTTTATCCACAAAACGGGCAAATGAAGGATGTTTATATTTGAACATTGCTTTGCTATTGGTTCAATTATCTGATAGCCATCTTTTGGGTCTGTTCGTAACCACCAAAGGGACATTTTATGTAAAGTATTTTTTGTGTTGTGAAACATCACTTCCCAAAATTCGCGTTGAGGAAGTGGATAAAGTGGATTCCATTCATTACAAAAATCAAACTCTTCCAATTTGGAAAATGAAGCTAATGGCATTAATTCATCATTAGGCAGGATAAAACAATTATGAATTTTTAATGATTTCAAATTTTTGCATAAAGACAATGTCGTTAAGCTTGAAAAATCGTCATTATCTCGAAAATCCGTATACATTAATTCTAAAGAAGTCAGAGAGTCAGCATGTCGCTTGAGTGCATCTACTATAACTGAAACGAATCGTTTGTATCCAAAAAGACAAACACTTTGTAAACGATTTTGAGCCTCGACAAGAGTTACCAAACTTTGAGCTTCGGCAAGAGTTACCAAGTTTTGAGCATCTGTTTCATAATGGGATTTCCATAGAACAGAAAGTGGAAATCCTGCACAAATCCTATGTAAATCTTTACATACTCGTGATATTGCAATAAGAAGGTCTGATTTATATTCCGCAAGACAGATAAGCTGACGAAGATTAGACAAGTAATTACAAGGATCGTTGCACGAAGGTAAGAATGGAAAATTGCTTTGAATAGCCTTCGTTTCTAAACGGAGACTATGAAATGTTGTACATCGACTCATGAATAGATTGCAAAGTTCTTTAGCTATGAGATTGGTTTTTCTCTCTTTCTCCTCGGCCTCATCAAAACATTCACAATAATTCTCAATATCGATATCATCTAATGATAATCTACTTTCAGTATCAGACTTTAATTCTTCCTCATAATTCAACATACGATAGAGCCAACAAGAATCTAACCATTGGGAAATGGACCAATACATTCCATCGTAATCAAGAGCACGTAAGAATGAAGCATAGTCATAAGCTTGGGGAGTAGAAGAAACTTGATAGTTGATACCATTTTTAAGCAAAACAACTTTATCCGAAAGACAGTTAACATAAGTTTGAATCAGCTTTGTAGCGGAAGTTGCGGACGCTTGGGTGATATCGTATGAGCGCCAAGGTTGACTCCAAAGAATTTTGAGAAGTGATGTTTCACAACACAAAAAATACTTTACATAAAATGTCCCTTTGGTGGTTACGAACAGACCCAAA